TTATCCTAACTTTAGTCTGAGGTATTATTTATTACTAAACGTTAAAATCTAGTGTTTCACCCAATCATTTCTCAGAGAGGTAGGGGCTAGTGAGCTGGGAAGAGGGGGGGGGGGGATTTGAGTCTATTATTTGAAGGGACATTAACCTGGCGACTGTATTTCTCTTAAATATTAATTGTGTGAGCATACCATCATAAAATTTAGCTGTTATTTTTACTACAACATAGGTATTGCGTCGGAAAAAGTGGAGTTTGGGGGTCGGGCCAGTCTCTATTGGAATTAATCCCATATGTTCTGTTGTTCCATTTACGTGGATTTCACTTTCCGCAGTACCCTGTGGGTTCAATTGACCGCGTAAATCGGGGTACTACTGTAATGATATCACATAAGAATAAAAGCAAATTCAAAAGGATGAGCCCCTGAATTATTAAGTCTAACCAAATTATACAGTGAGTATTAATATTATGATTATTATCATAACTCTAATACTCTACATAACAGTTGCCATAAAGTACTGTACTGTATATACATCTCGGCAGGAGCTCTGTAACAACACCTTGAACATCATACAACTCATCACAATAACAATGAAAAATGAAAGTGAAAAGGATCCCATATATCTGACTGCTCATTATGGCCAATGTTGATGCAACACAGTGAATACATGTACAGTACTATGCCTCCACAATATAACGAGGCAGTGCAGCTAACTATGCATTCGACAGCTTTCACTTTCCAAAATGTACAGTTAGGTACCCATTCAAGGTTGGTTGTACTGGGGATGTCCCAGACATGAGATAGCATCCCTGAAGACAGGAAGAAAGTGCTGTATCTACTTGGTTACTATATCATGGCCTGGAGTACTGCTGTTGGTGGCAAACTAACTTGGAAAAGAATGTGATTGTGCACTGTAGTGCTTGAATTCTAACAATTTCTGGTAGACTTGTGGGGGCAAGCCCTGTCAACTGACAATTTATGGGTATAGTATTTCCTATCTAGATACCTGTTACAATTTCAGCAGTGGTCACAGCTTCCTGTCGTGAGTTTTAATTACGTAAAGAATTTAATTTTTAATCTCAATATAATGTACAATTAAAATTGTATTTGACACAAATAAATTTCAATGTACTGTACTGTGTAAAGACTATATAAGCTGCCTTCTAGTGTACAGTATATGTACCTGTATATCATATAAATGAAAATATTAGTTAATCTTGTTCTTTCAATTCTCCATACACTGAAGTGAGATTTAAATACCTGTCCCTGATATCACAATATACTGTACTGTACATTCTTTATATTTCATATGCAACAAAATTTTAATTTTCTCAAATTTCAATGTGCATGACACAAAGTGACTGATATAAGAGTGTTCTGTCTTTTTTAATTTGAATTGTAAGTACTGTATGGTATATGGTACAGTATCTACTATAAATGGTGCAACAAAAAGTGACATGTGCTGGCCATGAGCCAAGAACAAGTTTAGCCCCTATCTACAGCAGGCCTTGGAGAAATGTGATCACTGACTGGCCTGAGTACCAATTCACAATGGTTCATAAGACGAACTTAATAACTAAAGATGTAAAAATGCTTTGCAAGGTGGAGACCATCATCACCTCCCTAATTCCCCCCCCTCACCACTGCCAACTTTTTTATAATTATACCAATTAATAAAGCAAAAATATTTTCATATGTTTGATTAATACAGTTTCATTGAATAAAATAAAGTACAGTACTTGCTGTAGTTTCTTCTATAGAGCAAAATATAACATAAAAATGCAGACTACAGTTCAATCATCTGATTCCATAATATACAATACTCAGTGGCAGACTGGGTCAAAAATTTCTACCGGGAAAACTTGTAAAAGGGCCCACTCAAAAGTGTCCAAAAGGGCCCACTTAATCCCAAAACGTACTCAAAGGAACCATCACTTTGGGACCCACTGGGAAATTTCCCCGTGGGCCAGTCCGCCACTGACAATACTGTATATCAAAACAGTTTCTTGTTCAACACAAACATGCTACAAAATATATTAATACAGTAATCCTCAAATAAAGACGGTATTGTGTCCTCCAATATTGCAGTGTAAAGTGAATCATCGTATCGCGAATCATTAATTACCATTAAAATAAAGCAATGATAATGAGATGCATTCCCAAGTGTGACCTTTTCATATCTTTTGTGTGGCTTTTTACCCTCTTTTCCCCCAAAACAAATACCCCTTGTACTGTACAAATAATGAAAATTGCAAACTATAAATATAAATGAGTAATACAATAATATGGTCACACAAGAGGAGATGGGACCCCATTGTTTTCGTTAGTGTTTACAGCCGGGAGTCCCGGACGATGAGTCTACACGAGAAAATAAGACCCTGGTTGTAGCTGGAGTACAATTAATGTAAAAAAATGAATGTATATGTTTTAAGTACAGAAATGTTATTTAATGTTAATAAATGGAACAATAGAAGTAGCTAGCCACTAATGGTAAATAAATAAAGCAAGACGATTGGGAACGCCAACGTATGTACAGCAAGTGCATACATGTGAAAACATATCGTAATTTCTCTACATATGAATATGAAAGCAACATTTATTTACTGTTCATAAATGTTTTAAATAATACTTACGAATGTAAAACAAAAAATCTACTCACCAATAGTGGTAAAGTCTAAAACATAAGGACAGCAAATGATGAGGTGCGAGTTTTTACTCAGATGACGAAGTCATCAGGTTCAACTCTGGCTGAAGCTGTAACTTTCCATAAAGCTGTTGCTGAAACTGTCACTGATCCTGAAGTTGTTGTTGAAGCTGCTTATGATGCTGAACTTCATGGTGTAGCTGCTTTCTTTTCTCATTATACATCTTTCTGTAGAGGTCATTTGCATTTATTTAAATTTTAATGCTTTGTTCTGTTAATGGATCCACTTCAGAAAATATGTTCATTGCTTGCTCCATATAATATCCACAGACCTCTCACCTTTTTCATATCGTTTTAACACCTAGTTTCTCGGCTAAGCTTATACACTTTCTATTAGCTTTTGAATCAGCACTACCACCACTTGCTCTCTTGCTCATGTTGAATAGGGATGCAAAAATGCTGTAAGAAACCTGAGAAAGTTTTTCTTCTTTTCCTGTTCACATGCGTGAAAACAAAGGGCCCACCAGCTGCGATTGTTAATACTAGTGATGCTGGCGTCACCACTAACAAGCCCAGCAAACTCCGTGCGCAAGGCTTTTTTTTTTCGGGATTTAGTTATTATTTATACAAAAATGTAATATATATTTTTTTTTATTTCGTCGTAAATACGAAGAAAATAATGGGGTAAATTGAATTGGGTCCTAAATTAACCAGGGTCTTAGATATGAATCTTCGTTAGTTGAACCGTCGTTATCAGAGGCTTTACTGTACACATATACTATACAGTATGCTAATATCCCCTCCAATACATTTGAATTAACCAACAATATTTTATTGTATTTTTTCATAAAATAATATTATTTTTTTCAATGCACACCCTTAAAAGAGAAAAAAATAAGTTACTGTGCCATGTGTCATCAAAACCCACTTCTACTATTACACGATATCATGTTTTTGAGACCACACACACACACACACACACACACACACACACACTGAGGGATAGATGGGTAATATAATGTCTCATATCCCAGGTGTAGACAACGGTGGAAATTAACGGAGTAAAAAGACTCATTCAATGAAGCAGCCAGACATCAACATATCCATCAAACCAGCTGGTTAAGTTGTCATGGAAGACATTAAGGAATTGGCCCCCCACTTCCAACTGATGGATCATTAATTTTCTTTTAACAGTTGCGCTTTCCTACCATTTGTGGTCAAATAAATACTGAACAGATATTCCTTGATTTCTGAAAGGATTCCATTCCTGAAAAACCTTTTGTAAAGTAATTTCTTTTCAATCTAATTACATTTTCCCAGACTCCCATTATAAAAGCAGAGATATGTTCCTGCAAAATTTTTTAATCTTTCCCCATTGTCTTAACTCGTAACATGATAAAACTCATGTTTGTAATGAAAATATTTGGTGTACCTTACAAAACAATCATAAGCCGATAATAAACATACGAAGTGTAATAAATGCAGTGAAGGACACCAGAGTTACTTACAAACTGTGAGATGTCTGTCAGGCACCTTAACATCGTCCCAAGAGGAAAAAAATAAAAATAAAATTTCGTAATTGAATCAACCATGGATCTTTTCTTCTTCATAACTTTGCATTTTCAGAACCAAGATCTTTGTAACTCAGGGACTGCCTGTAAAACTTCCCTAAAACTTTGCTGTCTAATAACTCTCATTTCATCATTTCCCTCTACTCTCTAATTCTCCTTGTGTTTTCATACTTCCTAATTTTACATCGATAAGCAATTGCCGCCTAATTTACACACGTATAGTAATAACCAAATCAACTTAAGACTTTTTTGGTGAATTATTTAGTGAAAAGTGTTGAAGGCTTCAATTCTTACTGGTGTGGAGATGGTGAGGGAAATAATTGTATAGAGAAGGTTCTGTGCCTGTAATGTAGCTGTGAATGTTGTAAAATTAAAAAAAAAAAAAAACCATGATGGTGGTTATGATGAATATGGTATATCATGATGGATTTAAATGGATCCAAAGTATTAGAAGCATTAACAGTCAATAATGCTAAAGGATTGGAATCTTAAATAATAATAATTAGAAAGATAATCACAAAAATCAGGATAACATATTATTGCAGGATACAATGGGGCTCCAATGTTTTGTTTTTAACCCTATAGTGGTGTGGGACAGACCAACTGAGTGGTATAGGACACTGGTACAGCTGGAATAGACAAGGGTTACAACATAAGGCAGAGAGGCCTGAAGACGAATCTACAGTCACAAAGACAAAACACTGTGTCTAAAAGCTACAGAATGCATCGGCAATATGACAGTCTGGTGGGTTGTATACTAAACATCTCAGTGACCATGAAAAAATTACCCGAAGCCTGCACACCGCACAGTTAATTGCCATGCAACGTTTGGGCAAATGCGCCTTAACTAGATCTTCATCAACCTTGTCCGCAGCATCACGTGGAGGTGTGAAGCGGAAAACTTTCTTCCGCCTCATTTCTTCTTCTTTAGCGCGATCTTCATAGTTGGCAAAGAACTTAAAGCGGTTGATTAGAGAAGAATTTTCTATGGAAACTTCTTCATCCTCATTCCCATCCTGAGACTGATCACCAGACACCTGCGAAGTGAAATTGCGAATTCGCTTGCCCTGCAACACACCAGCAACACTGACTGGTTAGATCTGCTGCCTGCTCCGTCGTGTCCAGTGTGTGTGTGTTTTGCTGGGAACAATATTTACAACTACTCTACAAAAACTTAATGTATAAATCTAGAAAACTAATTTTACTCTACAGTAAAATTTTAATACTAAACAGAAAGTTAAGTGTAGAAAAACAGTCAAACCTTGTTCTTTGATTACTTCACTGGGTGAACATCAAGTAAGAGAATTATGCATTCTAAGAATCTGAAGAAGTGCCTATATGACAAATTAAAATAATATATTTAATAAATAGTACAGTACTGTACTTTCATTTCACATACACGCTGTAATGTTTATCACACACGACCATATGGGGAAGAGCTGTTTGACTGAAACTATAGATATTAGACTTAGTAATGGCTAAATTTAACAACAATAAACTTTGGATTGTAATTATATAACGTCATACAGTATCTCGATCATAAATACTTAATGACACATTGCAACAATTTTCTTGGCATATGATTATAATCTGTATTTTGACTTGAGAATAAAAAGATACGTTGTATCGAGGGTGACGTCCCACTTTATCTTTCCCTCCCTCCTCCCTCCCACAACATAGTTACCTAACAAAAAAATTCATGAGAAGAGAAGCCATTTATTATGTCTGCAGATGGCTGTATTTCTCCAGTAACCACATGGAACAGGTTTATAGGCATGGCACATCAACATAGTGAGGGCGTGCACGTGTTAGTATGTCTGCTGAATTTAAAACTTTTCTCTTAGCCCACAGAAATTTCCACTAGCATGTACAGTAATTGTTTTTGAAATGTATGGGGCTATCTTTTGAAACTCTTAGTGGTAGAAACAGTAGCCAAAGCATCAGCCACCCCTTCAGCCAGAGGTGCTGGCTGAGCAGAGGAATGATGACTCAATGTGGACTCAAAGTTTCAACACTGGTGAATAACAGTCTCAATTTATGCTTACATTCCTTAATTAATGATTATTTTGCTTGCTTTATTTTCTTGCTTAACAGTCTGAATGACAAAGATACATCAAGGGTGGATGGAAGTTTTCAGGGAGTGACTGGTCCCTAACCTCCCAGATTTGTTACACAGTACAGTATCCTTTTGGGATTTATTGCTTCAAAAACTGTTGATTACCTGTCTGTTGACTTTTTGCAGTCAACATATGCATCAGTTATTGAGGTATACCTGTACCTTGATTATCTTTATTCAAATCTATTTGTATTAATAAAATAATGTTTTTACATAGCTTTTGAAATTAATATTGGTTAAATGAAACCATAGACAACCAGAAAATTCTGGTCTGAAAAGTCCCAGATTTGAGGGTCTATACAGTACCTGTATTTCAATTTAACTTCAATACTGTACCCTGTATATACATGGGACAAAAGCAAGTACTCAAACCCCCGCAAATACTCTTACCCTTCCATATGTTTACTGCAAAAGACAAAGGATTTCTTCTAAAATCCAAGAATTTCTACACTGTCAAGTTTACCTGTGCCATCATAACCTGAAACAATTCTAGCACTTGGTGACTGACTACCTGCATGATTTACAAATATCTCCCCATTAAACCATACAGTACAATCACACTATATTTTATGCATAAGCCAATTTAAATTTCATTACTACCAACCTATAGTTCATTAACATTTGAACAACCAACTTTGCACATCAATCAACTTTCAGCGAACACTGAACATACAACATTATCTCTTGCATAATCATTTATGATTATCATCCCCATTGCCCACTGTCCCCTTTTACTCTGTTCCCCATAAATACTTTAAAATTCCTTAATTTCTTATACCCTTCACATCAACCCTTCATACCATCAAATGTAAACAACTTAAACACAGAAATTAACAATTAACACTAATAATAATAATATACACCAAAGTATATATGATTTCAACACTAATCATAAATGTTTAAGGAATAAAGACTCAATAAATATCTAGTGACAGAGTGAAAGTGATATGTTCATATGACAGGACATGGGACGGAGGGCACAAATTAATTTTCTTATGTTCCACAAACAAGAAAACTGAATCATAAACATCCATGAATCCTGGCAGATTATTTTATCCACATTAGTTATCTACTGTACTTTGGTAAGGGTAATTGATCTTGTTCAAATTTAATCAAATCTCAAGGTTTGACTGTATATTCTGTGTTAATGTATTATAATGAACAGATGTGCTGAAGACCGTTCCTTCAAAGTACCTGTGAAAATCTAGTAACAGAGAAGATGAGTAAACTGTACAGAAGTTTGAAGTAATGCAAAAACTGATAGGAAAGGGATGGTGCTCATAAGCAAAGTCCAGCAAGGTGTAAAAATAGAATATTGAGCATGATAAGAGAAGAGCGAAACATAATACTTCAAATTATTAAAGATTGACGATATGTAGAGGCGAAGACAATGCTAATTATGCACGCTAATACTGGTGAATTTGCTGACATTTAATTAGAGAATACTTTTATGATGGGATATAAACTTAAATTTTCACTTATAGCTGAGGACTTTGTATAAAATATGATGGAGACTGATCTTAAACTTCTTTAACAGTACTGGTCATATAAAAGAAATGTACCTATGAACGATCAAAGTTCATGGTCATGGATAATTACTAATTAGCTTCAATGTTAGTAACAGTTTGCAGCAGATAATTTAAGCTTGCTTCACTATAGTCTATTACATTTTTAAGAAGTATCAGAATGATCGTTCATTAAATGAATAAACTGCATCATGAGTTAAAGAGATGTTTAATGATGTTACCAAATTACTGAGAAATATCAGTCTCAACTTTATTGGAGAGTTTGGCAAGAAAAGATACTTTCACAATACAAAAATATCCGTATTTTACTTTCATTTTGGCTTGTTACTATTTTGGAAAGTTACAGTTACATTGTAAAAGCAATATCAAGTGTGAAATAGCTCAAAGCTTGTGCAAATTTACTGTGCAATTTTATTCTATCCCAGCACATAAACTCACAGAACTCAGTGAATGTTGCCTTTGGGAGCCACTAAAATATGTTTAAATGGTCATTAGCTTATTAAGCATCAAAGGTATTTTGCATATATGATCCTGTTCTACAGGCAGTAAAATGCAACAACTTAAAAAGTTGAAAAATATATCTTTCTTCATTAGCAAAGTGAAAATCAAAAGAACTTTATCTTGCCAAACCCATGAAAATTTTTCTCGAGTTGCTTGAGATTCTTTTGAGAACTTTTAACAAGAACTCAATTCCATCATGCTAAAGAGTACAAGAGTGCCCACTGACTGTGTACTGATGAGTCTGAAGACCAAAATGGAGGACTTACATCTTGTGATAACCTGTTTTCTCGACGTGCTTTTGCAGAGGAGCGGAGGCGCACCACTGGTTCTTCGCCTTCTGCTACGGCTGAATCTATCTTCTTAAACAAGTTACGAGCTTTGCTGGCTGTCTCTGTACCAAGTATAAAAATTACAATCAATAATACTTTTTTGCCAATTAAACCAAAATCAATCATGCTAACTTTCTCGGGCTAATACCAAATTTCTAAATTTTATATTGTAACGATTTAAAAAAAAAAATTGCACTCATCTCAATATGAAATAAAAACTAAGCAGGCTCATGTTAAATAGTTTACAAACATAAACCCCTTGTTTGCAAATTCATTACATAGATGACAGATGTCCCCAGCAAATCTTTGAGGTTCAATGTGAGGGTGAGGCTTGTTATCAATATTTGCTTTGGAGTTCACAGACACACACAAAATAAAAACTGACAACTAAACCTGATAAAACTTGTAATGGAAACTTTAAAATCCCTGATCTAAATAAAGAAGAATGTCACTGCAAAGATTCAAAGCAACCTATACAAAAGGAGATGTGTGAAACAGGTCTCCCATGCCATTGCCCTCTTACATCTAGAAAACAATCCAGACATGGAAGGCAAGATGAACTAGAAATAAGGGGGAAAGACAACCAGTCTGTACGATGAATTAGAGAGCACAATTGAGTGATTTTAGAGAATGATGTGCTGCTGATTGACGATACTTCATTGTGTGAAGTGATGGGGCTACTGTACACCAGAGCAGAGCAAATCTGTTACAGCAGTATGAGTGAATGATAGCAAATAATGGTGGCTGTGTGCATTTTACTCTTGATTCTTGCCATATAAGAATATTACAAACCTGCATTCCTAAAAACGTCATCTACTTCTCTGCGTTCACCATCCTCATCTTCATCATCCTCGTTCACAGATATACCCTTCTCAAACTTTTCCCTCAAATTTTTTGCAGCAGGACGACCCTCGATGGCAATTGGCTCTTTGCGTTTTAAGCGCTTTTCTGGATCATCAAAGTTAGCAGCTTCAAACATTTCTCTGGTAGTGATGTTCTTGCCCTGTGGGATATGAAAAAACAAAGTAAAATCTGACTTACAAAGGTTAAGGTGCTCCGCATTGCTTCCCATATGCAGTGATTAAATTTCTAAAGTTAGAACAAACATTTCATGATTGGCAGATTAAATCGGCAGATTAAATTAGGGTCATTTGGGTAACTGGAAACCAAATTTTCTCGGGCTAAAAAAAACTTACAGCACAGAGCATTTGTCGGAATCTTGATAATTCTTCTCTTCGTTTTTTTGTCATCTCCTCTCGTCGGTTTTTCTGTGCCCAACCTGCCTTGAGGTCCTGCATCCCACTAAAGCTTGTCTGAAAAACAAAGATGAAGATTTTACAAAATCTTAGTATACATAGCAAACATGTTCTGCATACTGTGTTTATTTTTTCTTTACTCTTTTGACCCATTTCTTACTTAACACAAGGTAGCTGGAATCAAGAGCAAAACTGCACATACACAAACATGCAGTTTCCCATTGCTGTCATTCATTCATTCTTTTTACTCTAATATACTCCTTGTACGGGTACTGATGTCATAGATGCTATAAAAAACATTGCTATCTGCCATCTTGGGAAACAATAAAGAGTTTTTTGAGTAAAGATGGCAGAATTTGCAAAGTCTAGCAATAAAAGAAGCTTGGGAAGTTTTAAAAATTCCTTGTTAGTGGAATATTATAACAACTTAACATGAACTGAATCGAGGAAAAGATACAAGAAGTTGGGGCATTTGGACTCCTGTGATGTGTGACTCGGCGACACTGACAAATGGCCATCGATCCCATACATCCATACTAACCTGGCCCGTAGGCCCGCCCTTCTTCTATACTAATAGCCGATCGATTCATAGAAAATTCAAACTAAATGTGTTCACAACTGGTAGGCAGACTTGTTATTATCTAAAATAATCTTAAATATATGGATTATCAAAATGCAAATAATTTCAAGGCATTAGCACTTCAGAGAGGATGTTAGAAAATTTTAAATATTTATTATAAAAGGTCAATATAAATACTGTATGTGCTTACATACACGCAGTCCAGGGGGAGGTAAAATACGCAGGGGAACCAATCGGCTATTTGTAGCCATAGACGGGAGACTGGGCTTATGGGCCAGCTTAACATGGGAATACTATAGTTTCACAAACCCCAATAACTAAAGAGCAATTAAAGAACAACAAAAGTTGAGTCACGACTGCAATAAGAAATATACCAGTGTAAGAGAGGTTCTGGTGATGAAGTTTGCTGGAAAATGTCTTATGATCACCAAGATAGTTTCACTGTTCACTGCAACCTTGTTGAATTAATCTTTGTTAATCTTTATAACATGGAATGCGGCAGTCAAGTGGATACAGCACTTGCCTCCTGTTCCATGGGTTGGTGGTTCGATCCCCTGGCACTCCCAATTCACCCAGCTGTAAATGGGGTACCTAAGTTTACAACTTGGGGAAGTGAATGTGGTTGAGTGCAGTACTGACTCTTTGTGTACCAAAGGCTTAGTATACAGGGTGTTGTACCCACACTGTCCCCAATGGACAGTCATTCTTAAAGTACCAACTTTCAATCTTCATAATCAAAATTTTAATGCCTCAGCAGTCTCCCTTCTCTTTCTTTTCTCTCGGCACTACATTGAACATTCATACCATTCTCCAAAGATTTTCAAGACTCTGGTTGAAGCAAGTCTGATTAGGGAAATGAATTCTATAAACCTTAGTGATGGTCAGTACAAAACTGATGATATGTTACCTAAATTTATTTGTCAGTGGCCCACGGTTAAAATTGCTTTGAAAGCATTTGAGGTTGATGTAAGGTAGATGATTAGTGGGTCTCAATTTTTTTTGCCTGACTTGACCTTACTTGTTACACCACTTATTTTTTTAAGCTCTTCTTTCCTGTGAGGTAGGAGTGGTGTGTGGATTAGTGGATCCCATGTTATTGACCTGACCTGATATTATGTAGGGTCACCCTTTGTATATAAGCCTCTCTCAATCCCTGTAAATTCAGTTGCTCCACTGTTTCCCCTTTTCACACACACACACACACACACACACACACACACACACACACACACACACACACACACTATTTTCTCGATTTTACGAATTAATTTGTGCCACCCCTTTCCGTTAAATAAAAAATTACGTTATTTTCACTCGATTTAGCGAACTAGTTCACTAAATTGAGCGTGATTCCGCGCCAAATGTGCCGCTTGGCGCATGGGGTTTGTGACATCTGCTTAGTCTGTGTCCTGCCGCCACCCCTGTGTTGTTCACTGCTACCTCTTGGTCAACTAACTACAGTACTGTGCTTAGACATTATGCTGAGAGTCTCACAAAGGAAGTGGTGAGGGAAAGAAAGTTATAAGTGTGCAAGTATCAACTGGGGAAAAAGTTAGGAAATTATAGAAAAAATTGAAAACAAACAATGGACCCACTAGCCATGAATAATGTCGTGTGTCTGAGGTGTCTCTGTAGGTGTGAACGTATTAACTGAATTAATCTCGATTTAGCGAACTCGTTCACTAAATCGAGTGAAAACAACAGAAAAAATTCCTCCCACTAAATCGAGAGTGCTCTGCACCAATTGTTCCGACTAACGGAGTTATCACTATGTCAAGCACATCCTATCATACACTTTAAATCCCTTCATTATGCCCTAAATCACTTACTGGTCGTCCCTTCTTTGTTTTCACTTTTCCATCATCATCCTCTTCCTCGTCCTCTTCCTCCTCCTCCTCCTCCTCATCCTCATCTTCATCTTCATCTTCCTCTTCATATTCACCAAGCTCGGAGTTTTCCACCCCATGGTTATCACCATCTGATTGCATGAACCTTGAAAATAAGAAGAAGATTTAGCACAATAATCTGCATGTCTGCTGTTGCTTGCTGTTATCATCTTACTAATTAAGATGGGATAAAAAAAATAAAGCACCACAATGTACCCTGTATTCCTGTCTAGAAAATTGATCTACCTCATGGTAAAAACACACTACAGTACAGTATATGGAAAACAAGTTATTATTGCAAACAAAAGTGTTAAAAATGTCCAATGAACCACGGAACAAGAAATGAGAAAAGTATAGAATATATAATACAGTATGTTAGCATTAATACTGTATTCATTTCAACGACATCTCGTCTTCTGTATGGATGTGAACTGAAATTAAATGCCTTTACAAAGTAGATAGAAAACTAATGGATTATGATGAAATGATGAGAAGCTACTACCAGTGCCTAACAATTATCTAAGACTAACAATAAGAAGCTGCATTAAGGAGGAGGCAAAACTCTTACTTGGCAGCCTTGTTTAACAGAGATTGAGAGCGACGGATAGGTACTGGGTCTTCCCTAAGCTCTTCTTCAGCAGATATAAGCTCAAACATAGCAAACTTCTGTCTCAAGTTGGCAGATGACAGCTCTTCAAGTCCGTAATCAGGCTTGTCTGTGGCTGTAGAAGATATACATTTTTCATCTGTCAGTTATACATTTTCATAAATCATCTAAATTACAAACAAGACTTCAGAGTTAAAATCCCTCATAAAAGGATTGATTTTTTCTTACAGGATCCTGAAGTCATGAGTCACATATACTACTGATAGTAACCAAGCAGGCTGTCCTTACCTTATCGACATAGTGTACTGGTTATTTATATATGAATCTAAAAATTCTACACAACATTGCCCTATCACTATTCAAGATAATTCATTCACATAAAAAATGACTTTATAGTATACTGTAGCCATATACTTTTATGATGCAGAGTATAGTACAGTACTGTATTGTACAGTACAGTAAAGTACAGTAGGCCCCCGGGTTACATACGTCCAACTTACGAACATCCGCCAATATAAACGAGGTCCGACTCCCAGTTCTTTTTTCATGTGGATTAGCCCACCCAGGCACATTAGACAACAAATTATGCTTCCAATATGTTCCCAGGTAATACTGCAGTACTGTACAATACCTCCCTGTTTGACAGCTGACGATTTATTTTTTTACTTTCATTTACTGTATTTTTGTCATCCAATTTCTTTATTTTTGTCATTCTATTTCTTCTTCTTTTTTCTTAAATTAAGTGATTTTAGATGTACAGTATATAAGAACTTAGGCTATGATATAGTGGGATTTTAAACGTTGTTCTTTAAGTACGGTAGGCACATAGGGTATGTGTTTCGACTTAAGTACATTTTCAACTTAAGAACGTCTGTAGGAATGGAACTTGTACATACCGTATATGCCAATAAGCCTTCCCAATCGAAATCTGCAGTTTATATGGTGAGGTCACTGAGGTATGTACAGAAAGAGTTAGTACGGCCGAGAGGAAAGAATTATTTGTAAGGGTGGCGGCTCATCAAGTGTTGCCAACAAGCAGTGAGTAGTGTCAACATCGCAACTGGTCAAGGGTAATAATTTCGAGATTTAGTCAAAATACAGGTTGGCAATCCCTTATCCGAAATCCTTGGGGCCAGAGGCATTTCGGAATTTTTCGGTTTTCAGAATGGTTAGGTGTTTTTTTTTCATAGCCCACCTGGGCATAGATCATTGACCCACATCAGGGCCTGGGGGGGGGGTGGCGAAAATATAATAAAAATTATTATGTATTATTATAATAATAATAATTCATGGGTCTAGGTCATGTTTCTCACTCTTGATCTTTTTTCATTCTTGTATTTCTTTATTATTATTATTATTTTATTATTACAGTACTCCTGTATTATTGTTATTTTTATTAATTTTATTATTATATTTTATTATTATTATTATTATTATTATTATTATTATTGTTATTATTATTATTATTATTAATGTTATATTTTATTTTGGTGTATTTTTATTAAAATTTTTATTTACTATGAATAATTATTACTATTACATTTTCGCCCCGGCCCTGATGTGGGTCATTGATCTATGCCCGGGTGAACTAATCCCTGATAAAAAAAAAATAATAATAATAATAATTTCCCCTCAAAAAAAATTTCGCTTTTCAGAGCTTTTCGGTTTTCGGAATTTCGGGTAAAGGGTTGTTAACCTGTACTGATCAGTGGAGTAAAGATGACAAAAGCAAATGACACGATAATATGTCACAGGTACATTCACTTCCTACCAAGTGGGTCTCTATCCAGGGGCGGATCCAGGAATATCAAAGAGGAGTCCAAGAAGCTGTGGGTGGTGAACCAACTGGACCACGGCGAGCACAGCGTGCCCGCCAAGCAGGGTTTTTGGGGGGGTGCTGTAAGCCCCCCTCATGAAAATTTTTTGAAATCTAACCAATATCGGGCCATGTGCACTTGATATTAGGAGATATTCTGAGGTCAATAATAATTACTTTTTTATTATGCAAAAACACCTGACTACAATACTGCATTAAAGAAAAAGTATTGGAATTTTCTGATGAAAAGGGGGGGGAGGGGGTCCGGACCCACTGGATCCGCCTCTGCTATCATGAACTACATGCAGTAGGTCGTGTGTGTACCCCAGACCGTCAAGGTTGTGACAGATGGCAATATTCTGGTTTTATTTTCACAATGATTATGTAATTTAATCTTGTTCCCTAAATGGGGCAAAGTTTATTTAGAGCCTCTATGCAATATCGCTTACATCAACTTTTAACAGTGTTCTAACAGTCCACTAGGAGGAAAAATTAACCTTCTGGACCCTTGAGAATCATGATGTTGATTGGTTCGGAACGGGGGGGGGGGATAAGACGAAGGAATAAATCTAAAGTAAAGAAAATAGGAATTAAGAAGAGTTGATAGCTCCTAAACTCACATCTAACCTAACCTGCAGCTGATCATCAGTCTCACTAAAGAATAAAAAGGAATAGATTACACACCCACTTCACAATACTAACCCGCATCACCACCAGGCTGTCAGTTCTTGGAGACCCTGTTATATGATGTTCCACCATTGCTTATGTTCAAGTATGTCATCACAATACGTAAGCTATCTGCCCCCTTACTCAATTATCGTGAATTTACATCATTCATCATTATAGACCAATACCCATTATAATCAGTCTTTCTCATCATTATACGGACCACTACCCATTATAATGTCTTACTCATCATTATACAGACCACTACCCATTATAATGTCTTACTCATCATTATACAGACCACTACCCATTATAATCAGTCTTCCCCACCATTATACAAATCACGGACCAGATTGATGCGTCTTTCTCGACATTATTATTTTTTTTTGAAAACTGACATTTAAAATTCCCATCTAAACTCACTATTCCTCACGGGAAATTCCTTTATATTGTACTATCAGAACTCTATTTTAACAATAACAACTTCCGGTGAGGTACAGCTCCTTGGGGGAAGTTCCCCCTTAGATAAAACAGGTCACGGGAGGAAGGAAGTAATAAGGTCAGGAAACCAAAGGTGGGATGGAGGGATTAGAGAAATAAACTCAGGCGAGGTCAGTAGCCCGCGCGATAGCATTAGTCACGCCACCTCCACAACACGCCACCGTCGCATTACTCTCGCCATCACCGTAACTTCCCACTGCCCTTGCCTTCACAATGATATCCACCCAACTCGGTAAACTAATGACAATATCCTGTTAACAATTCATTACGAAGGTCAACAGCTATTGTAAACGTCTCCCCGTGTTACTGCGACAAATTTAACTTTAAAGGAAATGTGACTTCTGGCACCGTTGTCCACGAAGACCACCTTGGGTCGGGCCAGGTCGCTTCCCCACAAAATAATCGTCCACGCCCCCACGCAAATTATTATTGTCAACTCTGCTGCCTCTCCGACCGATGTAGAAATTACTCTTTTCAATTTCAACTCGACAGCAAGGGATGCATAATCATGCACTGCAAGACGGTTAATTTGTGTTCACTGCACGTTATTTCGGTGAGAGCGGAAGTGCTCCAAATTTACTTTACTTTTATCCTCTTCGATCGGCTCGTTAGCCGCTTGAGCAATCGGTCCTGTCTGTTACGCATTGTTGGCAAGTACTGGGCATGAACTGACTCAAAAATTTATCTATACCTGCGTCTGTGTGGTTGTAAGGGCAGCCACGTGACAAAATGTTAAACGCTCCTACCACATAGACGAAAATCATTCACCTGGCAGAGTGGTTAACGTCAGCCACTGGCAGAAGGGTCAATCAAATGGCGGTGGAATGAGCCACTGCAGTACGATTAACCATATGGTGGTATGATCAACTACATGGCAGAAGGGTCAACCACATAAGGAGTCTGCAATAGGCCGGTTGGCCTGCACATGACAGCTCCTGTCTAGAGTTACAACCTCTCTATCATCCATGAATCTATCTAGCCTCCTTTTAAAACTTTCCAGCGTTCTAGCACTTCATCTTAATTTGCACTCTCTCGAGAGACGTAGAGTGAGGGGCGATATGATAGAGGTATATAAATGAAAGTCGGGGCTGAAGAAAGGGGACATTACAAAGGTACTCAAACTATCCAACCAGGAGCGAACTCGTAACAATGGTTTTAAATTAGACAAATTCAGATTTAGGCGCGAAATAGGTCAACATTGGTTTGGAAACAGAGTAGTGGACGTGTGGAACAAGTTACCAAATATCATTATTAACTCGAATACGCTGGATAGCTTCAAACATAGGTTGGATGGATATATGAGCATTAGGGGTTGGGTGCAAATGGGACTGCCCAGTATGGGCCAATAGGCCCGCTGCAGTTTCTTCCATTCTTATATTATGTTACTACAAAGTTGCTAAATTTGGCGGGACGATCAGCCACATGACAAGAGGGCCAGCAACACTGAATGACGTAGCTGGCGCCACAACTGCATACACAAGGTGCACAACAATTCTACATGATCGATCTAGTAATAAGGTGAGGGATCAAAGACAAGGCCAGGCCAGGCTGGAGGGAGAGAGGAAGGGATGACATACGCGAGGCAACCACGGACTCCTGTGGTCACTGCTCAACCCTCCCTCTCCCTCCCTCCCTCCCTCAGACGCACGTCACATCACGCATGGTCTGACGGGTATAGCTGAGGGGGGAAGGTATGACTGGTGGGGGAGGTGTAGGGTATGACTGGTGGGGTGAGGGGGAGGGTATGACTGGTGAGGGAGGGGAGGGGGTGACTGGTGGGGGAGGTGTAGGTATGACTGGTGGGGAGGGTATAACTGGTGGGGTGAGGGCTGGTGGGGTGTGACTGGTGGGGTGAGGTGAATGGTGGGGTGAGGGTGACTGGTGGGGGTGAGGTGAGACTGACTGGTGGGGAGGGTATGACTGGTGGGGGAGGTATGACTGGTGGGGTGAGGGTATGATGACTGGTGGGTGGGGGGACTGGTGGGGGAGGGGGGGAGGGGGGGAGGGGGTGAGGATATGACTGGTGGGGTGAGGGGGGGTGGGGTATGACTGTGAGAAGGGGAGAGTATGACCAACGAGAGGGGAGCGAGTGAGTGAAAGAAGAGAGGGTGGCCAGCCCAACACGCAACAGACTCGGATTCCCAAAGATTTGTGCGTTACATTCTTCCTCTCATTGGGCACGCAAGAGAGCCTCTGGCAGACTCACTTTAGCTGCAACAAAAGACGTTTGCCAGAACTGGGTGGTCGGCTGTGCTCTGAGGCTATGTAGACTCAAGTGTATTTACTGTTCTTTAACAACGGTGTTTAAAAGGCGTCATCTAGGTTTGTATATACACTAATCATCAACAAAGAAAACTTGTGATGGGCATTTATGTTCTTATAATTTGTTGCAACATCCGTTACTAGAAAAGCAAATATTGTACGATTCTTTGGGAATCGGGACCTACGGTAACAGAGGAACTCTATGAACGTTTATTAAATGGACGCTCGTAAAGAAATGGGCTTCGAGGCAATGACATAGCTGATTTACGCTAGATTTATGTTTACAGTGTAGGCAACGACCAGTGCGTGACGTCATGAGCGTCAAACAACTGGGGTAAACATATCAAAACGGCAGCAAATGTAGGTCAAAACTGTGGGTTAAATCACAGATGAACGACAGCTCAATTTTGTTTTATTCTGGGAAGCCCCATCGATTTCTTGAAACAATTGCCTCGTGTCCGGATTCAATGTCTGTCGTTCTCAGAATGTGGATTCAAGGTTATGGTGCTTTCGCTGAAGCCAGAACAGATACAGTATATGTATTCTGACGCAAATTGTCCGGCCGAGAGAGTCAAGTTAACAACACATCTCACATTATATTCGAATCCCATCTTATTCAAATCTTTCAAATTTTATCCCAGAGGGAAGACAGTTTCCCTCTCCCTAGAGAAACAGCGAGTCGTATAACAAGTATTCGCTAAGCTGAGAAAATCATAATACTCACTGTGACGTCACGTATGGTCTGCGTCCGGACAATTTGAGGCAGATTATGTCCGATTCTGGTCTCGGTGTGAAAGAATACACCCTTAGTCTGACGAGAGAGAGAGAGTCTGTGTATTTGTATCCATGTACGGAGGCGCGGTGCGTAGAAGCAACTTGTCTTGACTACATCCTGAGTTTTCAGTGATCCAATGTTGCCAAAATGGATACGAAAGTATCATTTGGATACTTTTTGACATGAGGCGTACGTTTTTACGACGCTAACCAAAATGATTACGAAATGGCAGAAATTGTAAAAAAAAATTTATACTATCTTACTATTTTTTTTAAAAAATGTTTTTTTTTGTATTTTCCATAAAATATTCCGTTTTTTTCATATTCTTTATAACTAAAAAAAATTTCCGGATGATTTTGTCCCATTATGATACTGAAGTTTAAAACATTACCTTTCTCACATGTATATGCTAGGGTGACGATCGTGAAACGGGATATCGACTTTATGCTCTCCAGCACACGGGTGACGTTTGTTTGTTATCTTCTGCCAACAGAAGTTACCCCGTTGTTGTAGTTGGAACCTCCATAGCAATTAACTTAGACATTGGTGGGCCTTGATTAGAAAACGTTTATTTTTGTCTATTCCCCTCCCTCTGTCATGGTTATGCAAAAGAAACTAAGTATGGCATATCGAGGTAGGGAAATTTATGAATGGAATCCTTTTAAAAGGGGAATTCTCTCTCAGTTCAACGAACACGTTACGTTCCTGTCTCCTATCCCCCCCATTACCTCATACCGGCACCATCCCCACAGGGCACAGTACGCAATATTATTATCGCGCTGTAGGTTTCAACCGTTTGTTTCATAGTTCCGGAAGTCACTCTGTAGTGAGTGTTGTTTGTATTGTGAATTTGTGATACATCGTATAATGTCGCTACTAAACTGGCTTAAAAGGGGCAAAGGTATGTACAGTTGGCAGCAAAAGTCCTCCCACAGCCCTATGTAGCAGGGCTGTGGGAGAACTTTTGCTATCAACTGCACATGCGGATAGGGTTAAATAAAATAAATTGTTGGACAGGGGTACCTAGTGACAGCACTAGGATCCCGCTTCCTCTATCAAGGAATAAACAATTGAAATTGAATTGAATTGTTGGATGAAATATAATGTGGGTGTCGTTAAAAAACAAATTGAGATGCAGTTACTGATTCCGGAATTCAAAATCATCTCGACTAGTAAGCTTATTTTGACTGATAGACCATGTCAAATTACATGCCAGAATGAAAAAAAATAAGAAATGTTCTCCGTTGCCAGACGAATGACGATGGGATACTCTATCTATCGTATGCTGTGACGCTGTAGGCTATATGTTAGTATACAAAAATGCTTTAGATACTAAGAAATTAATTTTATTAAAGAAAAAAGTTAATACTTTTTGGATACTTTTTAGAAGATTATGGGTGTTTTTATTTTTATAGTCCTTTTTGGGATACGTTTATTTTTCCCAATGGCAACACTGGTTTTCACTAACCACTCCAGCTGGACCTGAGCAGACTCCTCTCCCTTTTATCAGACCGGCCGTCTGCTTCTGTGCCGTGTCTATTAATCACCAAACAAATGTTTTATTACCAGGAACAAACTGTGAGCGTGACGAAGGCATCAGCCAATGACTAAGAATCCTGTAAATATGAAAAATAAACTATGCAAAATAATGAAGAAATGAACGTACTGTAGATCACTACAAAACTAAACAATTAAATTAAGTTTACCTAAAGGATGAAAAATGTAGTTTATGACTCGCATATAATAACATTATTTTCAAGTTCGGACGAGAGGATATTTTACGATTATTACACTAAATAAGACACGATTAACCTCCACGCAACATTCTTCCGACTGAAGACCGTAAAACACAACAATTACGTTTTACAATCTACTAATTTATATTAATTGTTCCTTATCTAACACGTGACGAAGAACCACAAGCTCTGAAATGACTTTTTTACGAGGAGTTAATTTTCGGTGTTGCAGTATCTGGAATAATTAACTTGATTTAATTTGTGGGTCAGCAGTACCATATGAGCAGAGCCATAGCGGGTAAAACATTGAAAACCTACACACGTTTATTCTTAGAATATATTTAATAAGTTCACCATTACTTCCAATGTATTTTCTTAATATGGCTACCAATTCAATTTCAATATTTATTCCTAGACAAAGGAAGCGGGATTCTAGTGCTGTCACTAGGTACCCCTGTTCCTAGTGACGTTGAGCTCCAAGGTATCAGAAATAATTTAAGGTTTAGTAATTCAGTTTTCAGATAAGATACCTTACATTTAGTCTTAAAACACAGTCAAAGGATGAACAGATTACTAGTGTTGACAATAATGACTAACATAAGTAAATGTAACAAGGTTTCTCAGTTTCTATTACAGTATTCCTCTAATTCCACTTAATGGACTATCCTGTACACTACGCAACAAATGGATGTCACGTATACTTCTCTTTTTAATAATAAGAGAACATAAGTGTACTATGGCAAACTTGGCCTAAACCTTCTAGCTAGTCGACCAATATGACCCAAGAGTTCCTTTAGAAAACTTACCGATACAGTTAAATACAAAAAAAATATATATATATTTGAAAATGTTTACTATAATTTACTTTTTCTTCATTTATATACCCCTCCCGTCCATGTGACACGCAAGTGAATATTAAGTTATACAAAGTGTATACGAAGACAATACAGATATACAAGTACAACTCGCCTTCAATTTGTACAATACTTGAGATTATTCAATATTCCAATTCATGTTAGTCACTTTAACAGTCACAGTTCTATCTCCCAGGTTTTAATTATTGGACTAGTGTAATTACTAACCTAGTTGTGCGCTTAATGATCGCATTAGTTGAAGTATGGTAATAACGTTACAAGGTCAACGTCATAGAGGTTTGTACCAGAGCCACTATAATCTTGTTACACTAAGATATTACATTAAGAATACCGGTGAGTAACGTTACACACGCAGCGCTCTGTAATAGAACACACACGAATATTATCAAGCTAGTTATTATTTATTTACGACTTCCTAACTGTTGACACTGACAGAGGTCCAGCACACGACGTGAAACCTGCAATAAGTCATCCCGACCAAGTGATTATGTTTTACACACTAATAATAGTTGTGGTTGTGGCATAACTCACCTGCTGAACGTTACTTACCTGGGCAGTCATTAGGCAGAAATATCTACAATTAAGACAGGAGTAAGACCTGGCGTCCACATGAACCACGGGGTAACCCTCGGTCACATTTACTGTGTCGACCAGCCATTATATATGTTTAATAATCACACACACACACACATTGGTGTTAGGGTTATACAGGTACACACCGGCTACTGCTGGAGGTTACCGAGTTAGTGGGCAGTCAGCTTATTCCAGCTACACTGGGGCACAAGACCACCAGAGTACTGTAATGTACACACAAGCGACCTACCTCCCCACAGTTCGTGTGGTGTTCAGTACACAATACAGTATGTTAATTTATAAGTAAATACTCACACTGTTATAATTAAACACACTTAACAAGGTCAATAAAACGTCGAGGAGTAAATTAACTTATTCCGAAGACAACAAAAAACAAACAAAACACCCTGGTAGTAAAATTAATTTAATTAATCTTTATATACTGGATATGTTAAAGACATAGGATGTGAACAAATAACGCGGTTTAGTAACAAAAATATCATTGGTACAATAAATATTCTTGGTCGGGTAAAAAAAAAAAAGAAACCCATTACGCAGCCAGAAACAAACCATTATCTATATAGTAGCACAAACAAACTGTTAGGCAAACAGGAACGCTGTTTAGTAAAAACAAAAGATAACGCGATTAAAAACAAACACTAAAAGAAATTTATACCACGTTAATAGTGAAGAAGTGAGAAAATTAAATAACGAACGAGAGAGAGAGAGAGAGAGAGAGAGAGAGACTCACATCGCACGACGTCGTCCGGCAGGGCCTCAGGTTTGCTCTCCAATACGATCATCTTGGGCCGTCGCATCACTGTCGCAACACCAAGGTTTAGTATGTACACACCAACACACACCTCTGACACATGTTTGACACTTTTCTCATGTGTTTACCCAACCTGACAACTGTGACCTCTTACAGTTTGCAAGATGGCTGACGCTCTTACACACATTCCCTCAACTTGACGCGCACAACACCAGCAACATACATCTTTTATCACATCACATCTACACACATTCCCTCAACTTGACGCGCACAACACCAGCAACATACATCTTTTATCACATCACATCTCTTAAAAGTCTGACAAAAATCTCGTACTTCTTAACTACTGTACGTACATTAACTTAAAACTGCCACGTATACCTAAAACACTAACATTGCCCGTTTAAACTTATAAAATACTGTATATACTTAAATTATCAAATACACTTAAAAACACACCTAAAACCGCCTGTCACCTTTACCTAAAATATAATATCTGTTTAGACTCATACTGAACATCTAAAACACCCGAATCCACTTAATATAACAAATACCTAAAATATCAAGTACACTTATACCTAAAATATCAAGTACACAATTATACCTAAAATGCCAAGTACACTTGTACCTAAAATATCAAGTGCACTTATACCTAAAATGTGGGTACACCATTGTGCCCGTCCAATTAAAGCGGCGTACTTAATATGCTAATGTCACTTAAAATGTAAGTATAAAGTAAAAGTACATTAAATGCTACCACAAGAATTTAAATTATAACCAAGTACACTTGGAGTTAAGTTTCCACTAGGTACACTTGAATTTAAATTACCACCACGTACACAGATTTAACATTCTCGCCACGTACACAGATTCAACATTATCGCCACCGTACACATGAACTTCAATTACCAAGTACCTTTAAAACGTCGTGTACGTTTCAAATACCAAGAACTTAAAATGCCCTGACCACATCAGCTGCCACGACGTTATTCTGTTCTCTGGCGGTAAGCTGACAGGCTGTCCTCCTGGACAGTTCTCACCCCGTTCCTTGTGGGAGAGCCTGTTGCACTCCTCTCACTCACAGTTGATCGGTGTGCACCCCGTGGAACACACTTCGTACTCGTCATACTAATAACTACCCACCACTGATCCTATCAAAATGGTCACAGTTGTTTCACACTATTGTCAGATTCTGCTAAAATACCACACTAGCAGCAGTAACTTACATACGCTAAGGCAACACACCACAAACGTCTTTCGCCATTGATTAGTCGTATCCTACCGAAATACTGTACCCGGTATATACAGTGCAAGAATACACATACACAATCATACAATTGCCCAGAAGGTGTAAGAATATCTCTATCTCAAAAACACACGGTCTACAACACCAATTCATTCACAATGAATTTAAAAGTGCATATCATACACTATTATATACACAAGTATTTAAGATAAAAGGGTATATCACAAAACTCAGTAAAAAGTTAACAGTATATACACACACATTACATGCTAATGGATATATTACAGCTCAGTAACACATGAAATATACACCCATTATCCCTTGTGAACAAGGGGACAGGCAACTCAATGTATCTTACACGGGATATTCTTCGGATTTTAAACAAGTGCTACAATCTCACCAATAGTCCTAAATAATACATACACTACACATCACTGCATAACACATCAAAAACACATAACACAGCACGCAACAGCACAAATAACACTATACGTAACACAGATATGGAGAGGAGTGAAGGGATGCAGGTCCGGGTTGCCGAGCGTGGCTCCGCTGTTGTGATCACTGACGATTGCCACACACCACCACAACCAAAAATAATCACCCTACACGCTCGCATGACTTGGGTTTTTATCATTATTTCTAATCTCATCATCACTCCAGAGATAATCGGTTGCAACCTTTTGAGGAATAATGATCAAGTAAATTTCACTCGTGGATGTGAATTCAAGTTTTAAAAATATTTACCGTAAAGGTTGGTTTTCTTAAACAACCGCCCAGCCTTGAAAAGAATTTTGGGCCCAGGAAATTATAATTGCTAACTCTGACGTCATATGAGAGTTCTGTGGGGGGGTCTGCCGGCGTCTCTGGATGATGGACATTGCACTGATCTTCCCAGATTGTGGCAAGCTACCGCCCGTCACACAAAGCACGATCTACAGTCATAGTTGTACCTACAGTACTGCTGGACTCCCCATATGAACCAGGAACTCTCCTTCACACCACACACATACTAGATACGATAACAAACTCCACTGTCAAACACTAAGATACCCTGTCATTCGCCCAGCACTATCTCACCGCACTCTAGCCTTCGCAATACTCAACCCAAGTAATGTACCCTCCTTCCTTCATTGACGTTCTAGCATTCACACCAAGCTACACGATAGTACATAACACCATTAAACTCCCTATACAGTACTGTATATACTGTACACACTTTATTTCGCCAAGTACTTTTATCTTCGTTACACACCACATAGCCCCTGTACGCTCACAGTATACATTAAACAAAAACTTTTCCTTCTTACAAAATTCACCATCCACACACCACACAATCGTAAATCACCACCATCAACAAGGAACCCACAATTCCACTTGATGACCGATATTGAGACTGAAAATACGCAATCAACAAAAATACAGAGGGAGGCTCAAGGATAACACGCAACACCGCGTCATACACTGACCATTCATCGCCGGGACGCACATGGGGAAGGCAACTGTGGGAGATTACATGCATGTCTGTGTAGAGTGGCGTTCAAAACTGGTGTACAGTAGAGTATACTGTACGAGGCATAAGTAGATATTAAAAGCATATTTAACCATCCAAGATATACAGGGAAAACCATTACATCCGTACATGACGATTTATGGTCTAAACTCGAGAACCTCAAAGATACCTGTTAATATACAGTCGTTCATGGCTCACTATCATCACTCATGGTACACACGAGCACAAACGGTACACGTACACACAAACATTCATGGTAGACAATCTTGGGAGATGCGTGGGGCGTACAAATGACTAAAGTATTAAGTATACAACTCCATTCATAATAAAAGCCCACGATTTTCCATGTATACATAAACAGATTCAATGTTGTAAAAACATGCACTATAAAACTTTATCAAATAACATGTCTAATGTGACAGGTGAGAGAGCCAAGTCACGACACGCTAGCGACGAGAGACGCAGGGAGAGACAAAAATCAAAATGAGTGGCAACCGAGAAACGGGTAAGATTATTTATGCAGAGAGGGATAGGCGAAAACAGTGAGAGAAACAATGGTGGTGCAATAATCATTCTGAGGCGTGCGAGACGAGACACAACAAGGTGATAGATACTGTTGGACGAAAGACAGACAACAATGTGATCCAAGGCTGAATGAATGAGACCAAATACAAAGTATAAAATCACACGCGACGATTTGGTGAACAACTGAGATACTCCCACACAGAATGAGAGCCGGGAGACAAGGGTCCACAAAATGAGCGCATATACCTGTACGAGATAGACAACAGGGAGTAGCAGGTGGTGGGGGTACTCACATCGTTCTCTGCGGGCTTCATCAGGGTCCTCGATGACAGCCTTGGGGCGGAAGAGGTCCTTGAAGTGAGGTTTGCAGTACAGAACTCCCTCGTGACTCTGGTACGTCTCCAAGCTGCAGGAGTGAAATTTGCATCATAGTTAGTCCCATTTTAACAATTACGTAGAGACTGACATCAGAACCATTTTAACGAATCTAAAATAATCCACTAAATATCATGAAGCGGAGTATAAATCACAAACTCTTGGATTGCACATCTAAGTCTAGTGTGATGGTAAATCGAGTCTTTACCGCGTATTTACAATAAATAAATATAATGGCCTACCGACTGTATTCTAGGGACAAAATATCTTTTAGAATAATGAAATGTAATTATAGAATACGCATCAAGTGAGCGGAAGCTACGGGCGTAAACTAACTTAACCTGACGACAACTTTTTTTTTCGTACAAGTTAATTTTGGGTGTTTTAAGAATCATTAATAACTGAATATGACACGAACTAACCCAACCTGGCAGTATTTACTTAAATTTTGGTTACATTAATTAAGTTGATTTTGGGCGGTTCATGAGTCACGGATGATTTGCCCCAAAAGGTTTCTTCACAATGACCTCGGCATTTCATATGATCTAGATTTTACAACTGATGAGTGTCTTACATACATATTTTAGTATCTACGTCATTATCAGTTTAATTAAAACAAGTTCTCAGAGCCATTGGACGTAGATACTAGGGTTCAGTTATATTTTGCCCACGCCCATGTGACGCGGCTTTCTTGAGAAAAGGACCTATGGAAATTGGTCCATTAAAGGGCAACAAACAAGATTCTTCACGGTCTGACCCTCATAACTACGAGGTTCTTCTAGGTATAACGAAATAATTCCTTCTCTGAATCATATTTTACAACTCAATATGTCACAGCGGACGAAACAATCACCATTTCCACGCAGACCACTATACGTGTATTAAGATTATTTTCTCTCATTAATCGTCGCTCAAATTCGTTCATCCAAAGTTATAAAATAATAAATTATTTTTAGTGTGTGTGTGTGTGTGTGTGTGTGTGTGTGTGTGTGTGTGTGAAAGAGAGTGTAAGAGTAAGTCACAGTGAGTTACGAGCGTATGGGCACGTCTGACAGATAGACAGAGGTGTGAGTGATACTGATACTGGAACAGTTTATTTAACTGTAGTAGGCAGCTATCAAACAGGGAGGTACTACCGCCTGGGAAGATATTAGAAGCATAATGTGTTGACTAATGGTAGACCCTGCTGCCATATGGCATCACGAAAATTGTGACCAAATCCCAGGTTGCAGATCTAACTCTGCCTCATTTACAGTACTACACACAATTGTAGGGTTTCAATTGGTTCTCTTACCTTGACAACGCAACATACATATAGTATATAGTTTCTCACTGCTGATTTTTTTTCTTTATGGTTCTTTATTATTATTATTATTACAACAGTGTTATTATTATTATTATTATTATTTTATTTATAATTTTGTATTTTTGTATTATACATTTTATTTACTATGAATTATTATTATTACATTTTCGCCCCCCAGGCCCTGATGTGGGTCAGTGACCTATGTCCGGGTGGGCTAATCCTCCCAAAAAAAGAGTCGATAATAATATCAACACTGCCATGGCTGAGCCAATTGAGAGCCTGAGCTCTCTTAGTTAGTGTGTGTGTATGTATGTAAGAGTCTGAGTACATAAATGAGAGCATGTGTGTGTGAACAATTAAGTGGGTGTGAACGATGAGTGAGGTAGGCGGGGTACTCACGTGAGGATGGTGTTACACTCCTTGCAGCGGAAGCAGTTCTTGTGCCAGGAAGCCTTCTCCGCCACGATCTTCTCCATCTGGAACACCTGCTTCCCGCACATCCGGCACTCGCTCGACACCTGTGACATTTGCTGCGGGACCACACAAATACACGTTATACACCTCTTCTAAACTACCATGACTTGAAACTATTGCCACCTTGCTTGACTTCTGTGGTCATCGATAAACACCACCACCTGGAGAGACAACTACAGTATAAGGGTAAATGTCTCACGGATTAACATAACTGGTTAACATCTGTGCTGCCTTTACATTACACCTGTCACACATTAAAGAACTGTCTTATACACTGGGCTTTAAACCTGTTTCCCAGCACCTATGACTACAGTAGTGACCAGATACTGACAGGACTCAATAACCTCAAATAACTATGACTTGATGACCACATTTACTGACATGGCTTAACAAAATATGTCAAGTTAACCTGCCTCTTATAGCACGTATGTTAATGTATTGACAAAATCACGTAATAACTCAAATGGACAGATCATGGACAACTACAGTAACTATACACGATAATGAACTAAAGTAGACGCTACACCGAGTAAAGTTCCAAAGCAGACACCCAAAAAAAAAAAAAATTCAAGTAAATAGGAATGAAACTTTGGATTTGGGAGAATACACACACAAGAGGGTGTGAGAGTCGGAACTAAAATGAACAAATTACTTGAGTAAACAAAAGTAACAATAGAGTAAGAAGAACAGAGTATACACAGTGGAGTAACACGTTAGAGTAGGAACATGTTGGAGGTAGTTTTAAGACCGATGCATAAAATACCGTACAGCATTAGAGTAAAAGCAATATGTATGTACAGTAAAGTATTTAGAGCAGTAAATGTATATACAAAATAAACTATAGAAGCAACTACATAAATAATATATACACAGTAATACACACGCCATTATACTGCTACAGTAGGAATCACATTTAACATTGGCTTAAGAGGAATTAACAACGGTAAACAGATTAACATACTAACAACAAAAAGACGAAAGAACCTAAATATTGAAGATGGGAAGAAGAAACACAGGAAGAGGCACAACAGAAGAGATAATAACCTGTTAGAGAGTAAAAATGAAGTAAGAAAATAGATAAAAGTCAATAGGAAAACTGTAGGAGAGATAGGACAGGGATGCAAACACAGCAGCACAAGGATGTGAGACAGGATGGGAACGAAAGATTAGAATAAAAAAAGGTGAGATATCAGAGAATAAGACTAAAAGACTGAACTGAAGGCCATAACACCATTCCACCTATATAAGATGCCATGTTTATTTACCCATGACGTCACAAGGCGTATGAGGTGTCAGGCATACAATCTATTCACTATTGCGTAAATTATTTTGATTAGAAGCCCAATAAAAATCCTTAACATTAAGTAAAAATAGCTTTAACATTAGGATTTGTTCTGGTATTTTGAACAGCAAATTTGTATGGACCACCTTATTCCAGCTCAAAATACGATATGTTACATCTAAAATATTGGCACACTTCTCAAGACTTAAATTATATCAGTCAAAATATCAACACTTTACATGATTTACAAGTCACTCTACGGACTACAAATTGTTAGAGGATTGTAGCTAATAAGACTTAAAGTATACAAAAACCTAAGAAACATAAGGGGAGGTATATGTTTGTGACAGCTAACCCAAGATGTTTCAAAATGCATTTATGTAAGGTGGAGTGAGGGAAGTGGTCGATTGTGATGACATGGTGGCAGGCATCAGGTGTCGGATCACCCGAGGATTATATACCCCAACTTATTTAACGTTACCTGGGTAGGGGGAGGGGGGAGATAGGGCTGGATTAGGTTCGCGTTAAGGTGATTGATCTTCAGGTGATTCCCGATGGCACTTGCAGTAGAGGGAGAGGAGGAAGGAAATGTCAGGGTAAACAGTGAGGAGGAATGATCCGAGGGTAACAAATAAGTGCCGATGAAGGAACGTGAGAAAATTCCTGGTTGTTTATATTCACAAAAATGGGCGAAGTATTTTGTGCAGTTCCCTTTAATTTCAAGTTAGCGAGTTTAAATCCCAATTCACAATTTGTCTTCAAAGACTGTTCGGAAATGTACGACGTTGACCCTACAGTAAGTAGCACATTGTGTGTATGGTATATGGACTTTATCCACTGAGTCGTAGAAAAACCATGAGACTAGTTCCGCTCCTCGTGATATAAAAAGCACATGGATTTTACTTTTACAATTGTTTCAAGTTGGGGAAAACTAAAGTAGAGAGTAAATATGACTTAATGCTATATTCACATGTGACCTTTACGAGCAAAAAGTAAACGGAGGGGGGGGAAGGGGGGGATAGGGGACTATAAGGTAAACAACAGACAAAGCTTAGGACTAGCTGAGGGTAGAGCAGGGTGGAGGGGATGTGTGTGACTTCTTAAAACTATACTGGAGTAAAGATGGAAGCTTGGGGAACATAAGACAGGCTAAATTCAAATGTAAACAAATGCTGGAGGGGAACTATGGGTACATAGGTGAAGGTTGCGGGCGAGTATAATGGGCGTGGGAGACGGGGGGAGGGCGACACAAGGTAAACACGAGACCACAGGTGTAATGTGGTCGCCGGCCACCAGGTGAAGGGGATGTGCGAGAGGGTGAGGGTCGGAGGCTAGCAGGGCAATGATTCCCTTGAGGGAGCAGCAAGGTTACATTGGGAATATGTTGACTCGGTGTTAGTGAGAGGGAGGGAGGGAGGGAGGGGAGGAGAGCAGGTCATATCAGGGAGGTGTTGAGTCAGTGATAGTAGGAAGGAGGGAGGGAGGGGAGGAGAGCAAGGTCATATCAGGGAGGTGTTGACTCAGTGATAGTAGGAAGGAGGGAGGGCGGGGAAGCACTGGCCACCAATCACCAGCTCGAACATCTCCAACACTCACCTACAACTTGGAGGACACTTAGGCTGTGAAGGGGAAGCGTCTAAGAGCATTTTGTCTAAAGTAGCTGAGGTAAGACTCCTCAACACTTACGTGATGAGGAAGAGGAATGGAGAGGGTGGGAAGTAGAAACATCTAACACCTAAAAAACCTAACACCTGACAGAGTGACTTGTATACAGCACCTGAGGTACAGCCTCACCACTACTTACGTTGTCGTGCAGGTCGAGAAGAGAGTAGAGAGGGAAAGGGTCCTGTCCCACCACCACAGGTACAGCGGGGTGCACAAGCCGGCCGCCGTGCACACATAAACGATGCACACCACGCATGCAAGTCGTGCACATAGTCAGAGAGTCGGTGCACACAAAGGCAAGCGGTGAACATCGTCATTGAGTTGGTGCGTGAACACACACACAAAGCAATGCACAGTCATGAAGTCATGCACATATGCAGGCAGGTGGTGCACACAGTCATGATGTCGGTGTAAACAACCGGAAGCCACATGGTGCACACGAATACACGGTGGAATGCAAGAGTCCCAACATGCAGAGTTGACATAGACGAGGCCACGGGAGCAGATGGTTAGTTAGAACAGCCGTGGGTCGCCGTCAACAGTACACGGAGGTGAAAAAAAAGTGAAAATTTTGTGTTAAACAAAACTGATGTGTTATAAATGTTATGAAGGTGAGGAAAGAGAAAAACAGATTTTCAAGCATCTGAGTGTGAGTCTAGTCAACTGTGAGAAGTGTGAGTCACATCAAGGGTTATGTTACGGGAAGTTACAGTAGAATACAAGGGCTTAAGGTCGTCTGGTACAAGTTAACGTTGATCTGAAGGCCTGACAGTCACCAAGTCGTGGAGTAACTGACACACACGAAGACTATAAACGGTTATGGTTACCAAGAAACCGACCTCTGATATGGAGTGAGTCACGCGACCTGTCAGTACCACGGGTCATATTACCCCACAAGACAGAGCCAAGTGACCTAATATAACCCCAAATTGAGTGACCTCAATTGACCGAGGATCAGGTTACATCACATGACCTTGGTTTGGAAGGCTTCATAAAGACTAGTGCCAGATGACCTCACATGACCGAGACAAGTGTTAATGAGTCATGGGGGTTCACATGACTTACCCAGGATCAGGTAACCCAAAGTGACCAAGGCAAATGACCTTCGGTAACCGTGGGCCAGTGTGCCACAGTCTACACACGCGTCAGTTGATAGTTATTAGTGTCTCGACGTCAAGTTGTTGTCTCTTAAATGGTTCTTGTTTATGGTCGAGGTTTAGGGGTTAGGTTGTCCGTAAGTCCAATAATCAACAGTTAACTAAGGGTTATATTACTACATGTTATGCAAAATCCTGTAACTGCCCAGTACTGTATTTAGTGCGTCGAGTTTGGTTGGATTAAGAGTGGTCATAATACCTGCAGACTGTTGCAATAGTACATGACGATTATTGTACTGCTCGTGTTTGTTGGCCCAGTATGGTCACTGTGTTGATGTACCATAGTCACAAGATGCAAGGTGGTGCCCAATAAAGAAGCCCACGCGCTGCGCGGGGTACTGTACATCTGATTTTGTTACAATGTGTGGTGATCCTCTAACACTAACCAAAAATTTTATAACTTGTCCACAACAACAAAAATGGTACACAATACACATACATTGCTTTAAAAACACTAAATTAAGAAAATCACAAAAGTGCGTACACGTGGAAAGTCCCAACTACCCGATGGTGCAAATGTTACTGTGCACACTACCACTATACAGTACATGTACTGGCAGTTTCCGTGTACCGTGCGCAAAAAGATAGATCTTAACTACCGTAATGGTGCGTATAATAAGTAATTATGGTGAGTTGCGGATGAGCGTGCACGCTGTTCAGTGCGGTAGCGGCAGTGGTCGCATGGTGGCGGACTAGGTCGGTTTACACCACTGTACGCAAGATAAGATCCCGGGAGAAACGCTCGCCCCACACAGTCTCTTGGCGGCCCGCAAAAATGACCCCACTTGGCTCTCTCCGATTTAAAAAAAAATTCATAATGCATTCTGTCATTACTGTTCCATTGGCAAAGAAATTAGCAGCAGCGTTGACTAAATAGACAAGTGTAACCAATTGGTAACACCCGCAGATAGGGAACACAATGTCAGAACAAATAAGTGTTCCAATAATGTAC